GGTGGGGGGGATGGCGGTGATCGGGCAAGGCAGGCGATGGGCCAGCTTCGAGCCTGTCGGTCCGTGGCTTGGGCACTGGGGCTGCGTGTGGCCGGCGGCAGCGGGGCATGGCAGGGGGCGATGGTGAGTTGCTCTCTGGATGGGCTGGGGCTGAGGGGGTGACCGGGGGAAGGGGAGGGGGGGGGGGGGGGGGCAACAGCCCCTAGGATGTGGCCCATGACCGGACCAGACCCGTGTGCCATGCTTGCGTGCGTGCATGCGAGCAGGGCACACCATGCCAGGCCGGCGGAGCGACAGGGGCGAGGAGACACTGGCCGGCCGGCCGGCCGGCCGTCTCCCGGCCGGCTGAGGCAGACGTACATGCGGCTGGCCGGGGCAATGCGCCGGCCCGGGATGGTGCGTCAGAGACCGGGCTTCTGCGCGGCGATCAGGGCCTTCCCTCTCTCGCTCGGTCTTCTTGGCCGGTGGCAGGAGCACACGCTCACACCGAGGCGCGGAACAGGGGGGTCCCCGGGCGGAGGGCGCACTGGGCGAGGGGGCGCAAGCGGAGCGCTGCGCAAGCGGAGATGTGCCAGGGCGCGCGCACACGCGAGGGCGCAACACGGACGCAGGCAGAGAAGGCCAAGGTGGCGTGGCGAGGAAGGCGGTGGGAGCGGGCGCGGGAGCGAGCACGAGGGAGAGGCAGGCGCGAGGGGGCGGGGTGGGAGGGAGCGGGGGTCTGTTGCCGCGCCCAATCGAGTGCCGGGGGAGGGCCAAGTGGCCGAAAAGTTGGGCCCCGTCCGCGGGGGCCCCGGGCGGGCCACGAGCACCAAAAGATCCGAGCACCTCACCCCGCCACGGGCAGTGGAGCCGGCTCGTGGCCGAAGCGTGCACACGGGCGCCCCGCCCCCCTCCCCCCCCCCTCTGGCGCACCCGCGGGTCGGGCCCGGGGGTGGGGCGGAGGGGGCGATCCTCGGGTGCCAGGCGTGCAAGCCCACGCCGCAGGTCGCACTCCATCCGGCAAGCAGGCGACCCGAGGGCCACAGGGGCCGGGACCAGCGGACAACAAGGCGCCACCATGCACAAGCTCGCCCGCGGCTCGGGCCCCGCCCCTCGAAGGCCGAGGTGCTCGTGCGCCTGGTGCGAGACCGGGGACAGAGGGCATGGCCTGCCTCACTCCCCCCCCCCCCCCCCCCCCCCCCCCCC